GGAGAGGATATACTTGCTTAACGTGAGGCTGATCAGCAGATTGCTCGTGAAGAGCGTCAAGGAGTAGAGCAATTAGGCCGCAGCCGCCAGGCACTCGCGCGCTGCAAGAGATGCAGAGAGACTGGACACAACTCGCGTACGTGCAAAAAAGATACTTTAGATACTGCTTAATTTACTCTATAAATATCTAAACATTACATTATTACGTTGTTGAGATATATGATTGTAAAGGTGCGCAAAGTTGGTTGGGTGGCTCACTCGCTTCGATGGCTCACTCGCTTAGTATTTACGTCAACAGTGCGCGTCTTTATATGCATGTTAAAGTGCTTTAACTAGTTAAACCTAAGCCTGTTAGTAGTCTACCTATTTTTAGAGACGCTAATAACCTAGTCATAGGGCAGGGTATTGTCCTTGTACTAGTTAGACAGGTGTTGGCTGCAACGGTCTAGACTCTAAAGCTAAAGATGAGCTAGAGCTTGCCGGTTACGTTAGCTTAGCTGGCTTGGCTTAAGCTAGATATATATTATCTACGCAGTTAACTAGACGTCTAGTTAGCTTGTGCATGCTTTTTAGCAAAAGTTGTTAGGAAGTAGATATCCTTTATTGGCCTTTGGTCAGACTACTACATTGGCAGGCTTTGAAGATGATGTAGGCTGGAATAGCCTATCCTGTAGCATTAATGCCCTTAATAACTGTCACCCACTCCTAGTTGCCTGGCTAGATCTGCTTTGCTCGTCCTAGCTTCTCTGCATCTGTAACAACTACTCTAGTGCTTATCTAGCCTATTATAAATCCTGTCTTATTAAAGTTGTATATATTATTGTCTAGGATGCTATACTTAGCTTTAAAATTAGATACATGGGTAAAATAGCCCTATATAACCTTAGAGTTGTTGTAGAGGGCTTGCTTATAGTTATACTTGTAATAAAAGACTGTTTTAAGCTCCTCCTAACACTAAACAAACATGCTGGCCTACCTTAAGCCAATAGGGGCTAAACTGCGCTCTTTTTGCAGAGAATTGGCCATATCAGCCACAGCTGCGAGCTGGGGGGACTCTCCTTGCGTGACTAGCTTAAGTATGTACGCAACAACTACCTACTCCTTAGCAGTAGTTAGATTCTGTAAATTAGCTATAGTATTAACGCGTGAAGGTTGTCTAGTAAGTTAGTTGCGTAGAGTTGTTTAGGGTGTGTTGTAGAGAGCTGCAGCGCGTCTTACTAAGAGATTAGGGTCTTGTTAAAGAGCTAGTAGCGCAAGCTGTATCTTAGCCTCTTTAGACGCGTCTATTTAACGTAGTTGTGGAGGCATTGGTGTAGAGTTGATGTTTTGGTGGGGTCTTGGCAAAAGTGGGCGACTCGCCCTGGTGGGCGACTCGCCCTACACCTAACGTACCTCACGGGCGAGTGGCCGGCCCGGGCGAGTGACCGGATTTTGCCAAGACCACACCAAACTTCATACAACCTGCGATTTCTCAACGCAAAAAGGCTTAAAGTGTCTTAAAGGAACTAGATATACAGCTTGCAATCTAGGCTCTTAAATAAGATGCAACTCTTACTATTCTACGCGCTGCAATAATCTATAAGGTGTTAGAAAGAATACTAAGACAATAATATGCTAGAACGCTCTTTAGACGCGATTGTAAGGTTAACTTAATAAAGCTAACAAGCACTAAAGAGGAGGTGATTGTGCAGCATGTTCTAAAGCTAGACAAGCAAGGATACCCACCCTAGCTTACTAATGTAGAGGATATGGCCAACTCTCTACTTACTAAGCGCCACTAGCCTCCTGTTGGCAAGAACTAGGCTAGCACGTTTGTTAAGCGTCGCCTAGAGCTCACAGTTAAGTTTAATTAAAAGTACAACTAGAAGAGAGCCCTCTGCAAGGATCCTAAGGTAATCTAGGGCTAGTTCTGCCTAGTAGAGAATACTAAAGCTAAGTATAGTATCCTAGATAAAGACACCTACAATTTTAATAAGTCTAGGTTTATAATAGGTGTTATATTAATAGGAGCTGTTGTTACAGGCTTAGGACGTTAAAGAAGACTAAAGAGAGTACAGCAGGGCAACTAAGAGTAGACTAGCATTATCTAGGGTATTAACATGTTAGGATAGAGTATCCTACCCTTTGTTATCTTCTAAGGCAAGCACCACCTCTCTGCCTAGTATAAGGAGCTGTCTTTACCTTATAACTAGGTTATTACTATCTCTAAGAATAGCTAGACTAATAACAAGCTTAGTATTAAGTAGCTAAAGCACTTTAATAAGCACACAAAGGAGCGCACTATTAGCAGCTATTAGCTGCTTATTCTAGATAGCTATAAGAGCCACAATTTAGTTAAGTTCTACTAGTACTGTGAAGAACACAAGATTGTTACCTTGTGTATGCCTCTACACTTATTACACCTGTTGCAGCCACTTAATATAGGTTGTTTTGCCCTAATAAAGAAGGCCTATAGTTGCTAAGCTAAGCTGCTAATGCGCAACAAGATTACTTGCATTACAAAACTTGAGTTTTTACTGTGCTTTAAAGGAGCTTTTAATGCCTCTATTACTAGGAGTAATATCTAGGGAGGATTTAGAGGTGCTACCTTAGTCCCCTTTAATCTAGAGGCTGTAATATTAAAGCTTAAGGTGCGCCTATGTACTCTACTACTACCTACTGTAGATAAGAGTATATAGCACTCTTAAACCCTACAGAACACCCTAGAATTTAGGTTGTAATTAAAGCTTATTAAAGAGAGGATTTAATAATATAGCAATAGCTCTCTAACTTTAATAGTTAATACTCTTAATTAGCTTACTAAGGGCGCAGAGATAATGGTGTATTTACTAGTTTTAGTGTATAACTAGGTTGCAGAGCTTTAAGCTGCTAATAAGGCCGCCACACGCTGTAAATCACACAAGAGGAAGCAGATCTAGAGGGAGGGGACTCTTACTATTAGTAAAGGAGTGCGCTTAACTACCCTAAAGGAGTTTAAAGCCTATAATAATAGGAAGAAGGCAAGCAAGAAGAGGCGCATTAAACTAGGCACTTAGTCTTTACAACACTGTAGCAGGTGTAGTAAGGCAGGGCATAACGCGCGAACGTGCATAAAAGATGCGCAAGATACTGTAGATTAGTGCTGTATACTGTAAGTTACAGTAACTTGCAGTAACTTGCTGTAATATGCAAGAGAAGTTGAAGTTTGGTGTGGTCTTGGCAAAATCCGGTCACTCGCCCGGGCCAGCCACTCGCCCGTGAGGTACGTTACGTTATGTTAAGTTCAAATAGAGTATTGTTGGCGCGTTTAGAGAGCCTGCGCTGGTTAACGTTAAACGCAGCAGCAGCAGCCTAATGGCTCTAAAACTGTCTAGTATTATAGGCCTAGAGAGCAAGCTACAGTCTCCCTTTGTGTTGAAGCAATAAGTCGTGATATTGTTAAGACATACTGTGAAGTGCGGAGTTGTGTTGGTCTTGGCAGATTTTGACTAGTTCAGTGATATGACTGGCTCGGTGATAGAGTACGTTAACTGGAAGCCTGTTGCGGAACCAGTTATCTAACAGGCAGCTAGAGACTCTGCAGATGTACTTAAGACTCTGTAAGGCCCTTTGTGCAACTCCAGAGGTTTGATTGAATCCTATCGCATACATACTGTCGCTCGCCTATCGACTACAGTCAATGTCTTTTCTTTACGTCAAGAGCCGTCCAAAAGACCTGAGATTAGCTGTTCTGGGCGTTAGGCGTAAGCATTCTACTTAACCAACGCGATGCGCGGCCTCGCCCCACTTCTCCTGACGCAGGGTCCATGCCAACGCCGTGCAATGGGCAGTCACAATTCTTTTGTGCACAGCAGCTCAGCCCTCAGCCCCCTCGCCATGAGCGCTCCCTCCTCCGCCATGCAGCGGACACGATGAACAGTCTCAACACTCGACCCTTCGCCCGCAACGCGTTCAAACCCTTCCAGCCCGCCTTCGACTACCTCAGCAACAACCTGCGCACCGTGCAGCTCCCCACCGCCTCGAAACAAACACCCCGACCCTGCAGCACCGCGCACCGCCGCAAGACGACGGCACAGTCAATCGATGACATCGACTCGGACCTCGAAACCGGCAACACCAGAACTATGGATCGACGCAGCCACTCCCGCCACGGCTCGCAGGAGGCTGGCGCCTGGGCTCGCCTGGTGGCTCCCGTCCCTCTCATCGACATCGGCAGCCGCAGCGCCTCGCCCAACCCGCACTCGTACCCGCGCTCGCGAAGCGCTGCGCAGAGTGAAGACGAAGACGACGAGTACGAGATGAGCAGCAGCATCCGGCCCCTGGTCGGCGCCGGGAGAACGCTGTACGGGAGGAATGGAGGGAGCTGGAAAATGATGTTCAGAGATGGTGGGCTCGGGGGCTGGCTGTTGGGAACGTGGGCGGGCTGGCAGGTATGGGTGGGCCTGCTGGTTTTCTGGGTCGGTGGGTGTGGATTCGGGCTGTTGCTCATGAACCGGTTTATCATGCTGACGGGCGTGTACAAGTGAGTTTCTCGAGGACCAGCTTTGCGGTGGATGCTAATACGGGCTGCTAGATTCCCGTTTCCGCTTACGGGCACGTATATCCAGCTCATGCTCACGCACGTCCTGCTCGTTGGCCTCTCGAGCCTCACCCGCGGACTGGGGAGCCCGTTGCGACGCCTTGGACTCGGCGCTGCGGTCGCGCCTGCCATCCCCGTTGCGCCGCAGGGAGGAGCATTTAGGAATGTTGGCACAAAGTCGGGGGCGGCGAGGCTCCTGCGCTGGCTGAGCAATGGCTCAGGTGGCATCGCTGGCGGCGGACTCTTCGAATTCGACTACAGCATCGCCAAGCAGGTGCTCCCGCTCGCAGTCGTCTTCGTCGTGAAGGTGCTGCTGAGCAACTTCTCATTCGCGTACGTACATGTCGCGTCTCACTCCTTCCCGGCACTAACAATCCCAGCTACGCCCCCCTCCCCGTGTACCAGCTTGCCCGCATCGGCATAACCCCCCTCTCCCTCTTTTTCTCCTGCGTCCTGCAAAAAGACAGCATATCCGGCTCCACGCTGTCCGCCGCCCTCATCGCAACGCTCAACCTGCTCTTCGCAACCCTCCGTTCCAATGTCCGCGTAACATGGGAGTCCATCGTCGCCGGCGTCTTCTCCTCGTTCTTTGCAGCCCTGTACCCCATCCAGCTCCTCCGCACATATCGCACTTTACTCTCCGGCCTCGTGCCTCAGGGAGACGTGCTGAGCGGGTACCCCAACCGCAGCTCAGAAGACGACAACAATCGTGAGGAAACGCGCGCATACTACCGCACTCTGCACTATACGTCCTTGTTGTCGATTGCGCTACTCACGCCTATTGTGCTGCTGAGCGGCGACCTAGGGAACATATATCACAATATCCCGTTCCTGGATGTACCGTTCTTCTGGTTGATGATCTGGTGCGGGGCGATCGGTAGCTGGGCGGTGTTTAGTAGCACGTTGGTTTTGGTCAAGGCGACGAGCCCATTATCTGCCACATTCGTCAATGTGCCGCGGAGTGGCGTTCAACTCATGCTGCTGAGCATGTTCAAAATGCCCGCGCATAGCTGGGTGGGTGTTGCGCTTTGCTGGGCGAGTAGCGTGTGGTACGTGGTAACGATGAGGAGGGAGAGTAGGACTAGGGTGAGACTTGAGGGGCGGTAGATTGGTTTATGAGTCGAGGAATCGAGTGTATCCATGATCCAGCCACGCGTGCTGTTCGAAAACCGAACCAAACCTCGAGAGACCGTGTCCACGTGATCACGTGCAGACGATGCGAGTCGCACAGCTATATCCCTCGCTCCGAGCTCAATCTGTCGCTCTCCAGAATCACGCTGTCGTTCAATATCTTGGAAATGATGAACCCACGTTCCCATGGAGCGCCAAGGCTACGCAGCTGCGCGGTGCATGTCCTGCTCTCGAAAGTTGCAAATCTGCACAACTTCAAAGTCGTGTCTCTTGCGTGATTTCAAAATCAGTTTGCAGATGGGTTCGGCATCTGCCTGACGGCATTTGATCACGTCATAAAAATGTCTACGCCAGATCTTCTCCTTCACAGAATTTGATGTCGCACTCTGTATGCCCACGAAACTCCATGATGCGTCCAAAAAATACCAGAGCGCCTTTTTTCGTAGGATTTGTTGGAAGGCATATGAACAAAAGATCTTGGAGTTCCTCATCTTACGAAACCCCAAAATGGATTTCACTGCGGGAACATGGTGCGGGAATCGTGGATTTCGATGAACTAATCCAAAGATGCTATGACTGGGAGTTGCCTCTACTCCGAACCGCTACACTACTATAAACTCATACTTGGCTACCCTCAGGATAGCCTCCAGTCTTCATTCCCCAAACCAGCACTCGAGCTCTAGCCAAAAAGAAAGAGGACGAGATTGAATATTCGAGATCACCGATGCACGCCCTTCATGTCTTTCCGCTGCGCGATCAGACTTCAAAAGTGTACTGAAACATGTCTACCTTCTGGACGTGGGAGGTGATCGAAATACAATGCTTGAGAAGCGCATGCTTCGGATAGCATATAATTTGCAGACTGGACCGTCATGGCTCCCTCGAGACGGATTATTACTGGTTGTCAAAAGCTTTGGAAGAAGAAAATGATGGTGCCAGCGTGTTTGGGGTCGGTAAACATGTGCGTGAGAGGTTCTGAAGAGACACCAAGTTTGGGTTGCTGCTGTCTGGCGCGTCTCAACCCATCAATCGGCCTTTCTCTGAGCTTCATGCAAGACCTACTCTTTGACTTCGAAAGCCGCACATCTTGGGTTACGCGCGCTTTTGTTCCGTGCAAACAAAAAGGGAAGGACTACTTCACTATGTCTGGTTTGCTGAGCTCGTGTCACGCTTCAAACTACACGAGCATGATGTAGATGTGTAGGGCTGAGCGTGGAGCCTTGTCTGTAATGCTGCAGCATGTGCGATGATGATTCATATTGCATCTTAGGAGGGTGCATGTGTTTCGTTTGCTGGTTCTCGAAAGAAGAGCCCGGTAGGCAAGAGGATGGCATGACCGCCGATGCAAACATTTCAAAAGATCGAGGCCTAGTGCAAATATTTAGCATGTTTGCCCTCTGTACTCGTGCAATGTACCGAGCCCAAGGTCCCCGAAAGCGTGACCTACGGGCCGGGCGATCAGTGCATCCTCGTGTTCGCTAGTGTTACGTCCTTCACGTTGCAACCCTGATTTGCAACCGATGTCACACAGACTGGACATGTGCGGCTCGTGGGCTGAGACAGCAATAGTTGCCCAAGGCTACTTGCACCCGTTCCTCCTTGCTCCGAGATGTGTCACCTGACTCAAGCTTTGCCCAGGAATTTTGCTCCGCTCGGCGTCAGCGGTCAGCTCTAATTACACAGGGATGCGTAACAGCGTGTCTCGGACATTAGGTGACACAGTGGTGGGTGACCTTTGCGGAAGCAGGTGCGAGGTAGGATGAAGGTCTTGGGTCATGGCCGATCTGTATCGATAAGAAAACGCATTAGTGCGTCCATGGCCGCCACAGCACTGATGACGTGAATGATAGTTTCTATTGCATATATGTGTGTCTCAGCATTCCGGCCGTTACTTTGCGTATTACATTCTGTATGACTGCATCTCTGGCAACAAGACTACGTACTTGCGCACGGTGTCTGCGCGCCAATCGACCGCGGAATCGCCCCGTGCCTTTTCGGCCAGCTACCGGTGCAAGCAGTAGGTGGTTCGCAGATGCAGCGACACAACGACAGGATGATACCGATGGACAGGAGCGGGAGGAGCGGCAGCAGGCGGCGTTGAAGGATGAGGAAGAAGAAGGAGCATTCACACGGCGCATGCGCTTGATGAGCGAGGAAGCGCTCGAGAGTGGCGGACACGGCGTACGCAAAGCCGTAGAAGAAGCGGGCTTCAACGCCGACCTCAAGGCACAGCTCGAAAAGCGCATAGTCGCTGCATCTCTCCAATCGCCTGAAGTCAACCTCCCCGCCTCTGCGTCCCGCCACACACGCGACCTCGCGACGAGCGAGGCATGGACGGGCACCGAGAGCGTCCACGACGCCTCTCTGCGTATGCTCAACGACGCCCACAAGCCGTTACGAATAGGCAAGCGCACAGCACCAGGCCCCGCTGTCCAAATGCCGCAGAACATCGACACAGGCCGCAGCCGCAGCAAGAGAGGCCACGGACTGCGTCTTGCCAATGCGCGCGACCGCACAAATGTGTACGCTTCGGTGCAATCTGACGACAGTCTCGAAGAAACAGAGCGACAACGACGCCTCCGAGCATTGAAAGAACGCTTCGAGCCCGGCGCTCGCGCCATCGTCCCAGGCTCCATCCAAGGCCTCGCCTCGCTGGCCAACAAACGCATCGAAGACGCCATTGCGCGGGGGCAGTTCAAAAACATCCCGCGCGGCAAGGGCAGGAACGTGGAGCGCGATCACAACGCCAATTCGCCCTTTATCGACACGACCGAGTACTTCATGAACAAGATCATCCAGAGGCAGGAGATTGTGCCGCCATGGATCGAGAAGCAGCAGGAGCTCACATCTGCCGCGTCCAAGTTCCGGAGCAGACTTAGGGCGGACTGGAAGAGGCATGCTGCGCGCATGATTGCGGCCGCGGGTGGGAGTCTGCAAGACCAGGTGCGGCGCGCAGAGGCCTATGCGTGCGCGGAGCAGATTGTCAATCCGTCGAAAACCATGAAAGAGACGCTGACTACGGTCGACAAAGAAGGACAGATCTCCCAGATCTCGCTCTCGGTCGAAGTGAAACGATACTCCTCCGATCCCACAGGCAGCACGCTGGCCTCTCAAATCACCGCTGAGAAAGCACCACTCGATTCTGGTACAGAAATCAAGTCTGCAGCAACCACAACACATACCATCGAGGTCCCCTTACCAGACCCACTCGCAAACGCTGCGACAGCAGGAGCAGCAGCGGCACAAACAGTTGCCACATTAGACTCAGCAGCATCGGCCGCTTTCCCGGCGCCGACTACTGTATTCCGCGACCCCCTGTGGCTCTCCAACGAGACATCCTACCTGTCGGCGGCAGTCGCAGATCTAAATTCCAAAGCACGCAGCTATAACCTGCAAGCCCCCGAGCTAGCACGCAAGCCCTACTTCAATCTCGAACGGGAGCTGCGATCATGTTATTCGGACGTAGCGCCATTGCTCGCGGAGGCAGTCCTCGAACGAGCTAGAAAACCAATTAGGAAGGCCAATGAATCGTTTGGCCAGCAGCTCAGCGAAAGAGGCATAATGGGTACATTGGGAGGCGTGCCTGCGAGAATCAGAGACGAGCGGACCACGAAACAATATGGCTTCAAGCAGTTCTGGAATGAGCTGTTCACGCCGAAAGGCAAGGACCCGTGGGCGTAATGTAGAGCCATTCAGTCCGGTTGAACCTGAGCAACAAATGATATGCCGATGCCTTTCCGCCATGTCGAAGTTTCTAGTATTGCAGTCAAAGTGTCCATCAGAAAGTTATACAGAAGGGGACGTGTATATGCCACATCCTGTACACAAGATACTCTACAGCACGAATGGTGTTCAAAGGCCTGATCCAATCGACCACGAACGTCCTTATTCTTCTCTAAAAGGTATCAACAGCGTACATTGCCCACCACCACATCTGCCTGATCAATGACATAACGCCTCGCACACCATACCGCAAACGGCTCACCAACGCCCAGAACCTGTAAGAACAGTAGCGTATATCCACATCCCAAGCAGCCTCGTTGCACATCGCCTCGCACCCTTTAAACCCGATATCTCGATTCAGGAAACCGCTCTCCAACGGCCTTCGGCACGTTCGCAGCCGGCATTTCAACCGAGCCACGCAGCGATGTACACTTTACCAGCAGGAGTGCAGTCGCAGCACGACGCATCGGGATCCATCTACGCGCGACTCAGACGTCGATATCGATCTAGCATCGGATCTTTTCTCCAGCAAATCACGCCCAGTGTCCACATGCGCGTCCCAACAGTAGCCCGCTCCACTGCTGCACGCCTCCCTCAACATCGCACAGTGCACAGTGCCGTTCTCCACGACTCAATCCGAGGAAATCCCCTAACCAAGGCTGCTCTCATCTCCATTCAGGCAGACGTACGCCAGATTAATTGCGGAACACTAGTGCCGGACTTCTGCCTGAAGGATGATGCTGGGTAGTGCTGGATCCAACGGTGCTATGCCGGCCGAACTGCACTGCACATGTCCAGTGCAGGCGCGCAGGGTATTGGATGGGTTGCACATCGGTACCGAGTCTCTGGTTCCGATTCTGTAGCTATATGATGAGCGCGATCGAGATTGTAAGGATGATACGGGCTTGGCGTAAGCACTGCGTTATCACTGCATGCGGGACACGTATTGATGGATTTGACATCGCGGTATCGAGATGTCGCAGGTTTCATGTTATGGTGCAGTAGTGCTATCACCGATGCCAGATCATATGTTGGCGGAAATGCTCCGTTATTCGCATGCCATGAAGGACTCAAGGCTTACTCATTGTTGATGACTTTCGCTCCGTTGATCACGTTTCGGTCTCGTCTTCGCACAAAAAGCAGCCAATGACAGAAAAAGCAATGTTGGTTTGCTGGTAACGTGTACCTAATGTGTCTGACTGCATACCGAACTATCATCATGCCATCGCCTTGTCCAGGGTTACTAATACATCCTGGGTGTGATCAGCAACGTCCTCGTAGAATTCGATGATATACTACTTGTTATCCAATCAAGTGCCGTAATCGCATCTCGACGTTCCTGCGCCGAAATTGAATGATCGGCGATGATGATCGGTCACACTGCAGAGCCTGCACATCCCTGGGCACCGCATGAGCGTCTCTGCGCTGTCCCGAACAGGGGACTTTCTAATCCTCAACCCTCAATTCGTCTTTCTCCTCGCCGCGCCGGGGTGTGATGCTCATCGAGTGATGCTGCCGACCACGCCATCCCTCCTCGCCGCCCGCTTCGTGTGTCCACCCTCACTACACCTCCCGCCGCCAACGATCCTTGCGTTGGGCAATGAACGTTCAGCATCCTTCGTGTGCTGATCGACCATTGGTTTCCCACTCGTGGAGAATCCTTTACTGGTCATACATGCGCCCACGGCAGTGGCGCATGTCGGCCTTCCTGCACCGTCACACGGTTGGCAGAAGCAAACCCGCAATGCGTGAGCAGCCAGAGGCCGAAGCACGTCCTGTCTGTATCCACCTTTCCGGCTCTCTCCACTTTGTATATGAGGCTTCTTAGAGTACGTGTTGTAGTTGTGAATGTGCCGCTTCTGCAAGGCTCTGCCCTTGGGTATGGAGGGCGCAAAGGAGTGGGCTGCCGCGAGAGTAATGAAACGTGCCTTGTAGAACTTTACCTCGACTTTCAGATCATGCATAGCGAGCTTGACCGAGCGATGGACCTTGTCCTTGCCATGAGGGAAGAAGACACCGCTTCGCGGAGTAAGGCTGTTCTCGCGCACCATACCGTCACAGCCTTTGACTGGTCCTTTCGGGGTGACACATGACTCGCGGGAGCACATTCGGGACATCTCAGGTCGACGATTGTTATGATGGTGCCGCAAGTGCGATGGAAGCGGAGTATTGTGGGCAGGTAGCGTAGTCATGGATACAAGAGGCGGTCGAATAGGCAGGCTCTCAGCAGATGATCCTGCATTGACGTTCTCCCTATTATAATAAGACGATGAGATTATTGGTGAGCCTCCGTATATCGACGGGCTGGTTCTCTGAGGGGAGCTGCCCTCGGGCTGAATGAGATTGCCAGATGGCGAGTAGAAAGAGATCTTCGGCGTATTGTAGTTCGGCCGCACGATTCCAGATGCTGCAGCTATGGGTAGCAGAGAGGTTAGCGCAGACGAAGTGATGTGATGAGACGGAGCATGACTCGGCGAGAGTGCTTCCCCAGACTCAGGTGAATCCGAAAGTGAAGCCTGTCGTTCGAGTTCTGCCATCTGCGGCGTGAACCATACAGGTGTGGGCGGGGATTGCGAACGACAAATTGGGTGGCTAAAGTCATGTTGCAGGTCGAGGTCGACACCCAGCACCGTGCCAGAGTATGAGGAAGTAATGGTGCTACAAAAGCTGGCGTTCTGACTTGTGAACACCTCCCTTGCACTGCTAGCATCCCTCATTGAAGACGGTTGTCCATGATACAAGGGAACACCGTCGACCGTGTAGCGAGCTGAGGTGTCAAAAATGTCATGATGAGACGTTGAGGCTTGAATCATGCCATCTCTTCGCGCCACATCGCGTGTTCCTGCGTGTACAACGGGCGTCGAGAAGGGCCACTCATGCGAGCGCGTTGCAATTCGGTAAGGCAGCACAGGAGGTATAGAACCAAAAGCAGTATGCGACTCGAAAACTTGGGAGCGAGATCTTGCAAGAGGTAAGCGCACGTGAGCTGGAAGCTCAGGGCCCGAAGAAGAAATCGCGCGATTTCTCGTCCGATTTCCAGGGGTTGGCACGACGGCCACACCTTCAGGTACACGGGCTGAGATGTCGCCACATATATGGGCCCTACGGGGACCCTGGTCTTGCTGATCAACCCGGGGGCTGCTCTCACGCGTAGAGAGCGGGCTATCCCGATGGTTCATGATAGGCGCATGCGGCGTCGAGGACGATCGAGACCGAGTCCTCGAAACGCCGCGCACGTTTTGCAAAACGCCGCGAATGAATCCTCTGACTCCTCCGTGATCGTGGTCGAACAGCTCATCGCCAGAATGAGAGACTGGAGATTGTTGTAGCTCAAAGCGGTGTGACGTCAGAGGTGTGGCGGTGCTGCTTGCTGGATCTGCTGCTCCGTGCTCCTCATTTAGTCTTGTTGGCGGCACAGCCACTGCGGAGGCATCAAGCTCTCGAGCCAGATCTTCCTGAATGTTATGCAAAGCTTTCTCGTCGAGACTGCGTGATCTCTGTCGTGATCCTCGGTTGGGCGAAGTATTCTCTGCGGCCTTGATGGACGGGAAGCGACCCACGCTAAGCAGCGATCCATGCGAGTTCAGCGTTGAATACGAGCCATGCTCGATGATTGTAGCAAGCGGAGCACCATTGGAACGATTCGCCAGGCGTACGGCGAGCTTATACGCAGCGGTGTGACCTCTGGCTTGTGGTTGGGCATCATCGACCGAACCATTGTGGGCTGCCGCAGCTCCTGAGTGGCATGTGTAACTATCATCATCCGATTCGATATAGTCCGGCGCGCCGAGTAGTGGTGAGTCCGTGTCAAGATACGTCTTGTAGAATGTGAAGGGATCCTGAGAAGCTGCAGCTCTCGTCTCGGCACGGGCAGTACCATGTACACCATTCTCCAATGCATTGTCTGTGCGATATGGCGGCGTACTGTTCGTGATAGGAGGGTTCTGATGGTTATACCCCAACTGGCTGGCGTCGCAGAGCTGCGAGGTCGCCATTGTTCCGCATTTGGCTTCTGAGGAACGGGGATGCAAGGAGGAAGGTGTACGAAGACTGTTCATTTACCAGGCACAGAAAATACAGCCAAAGATGCTGTTTCCAACTTTGACTGTGACGGAAGGGACTGAACGTAATCGTGCACGATAGATCTTAGACAGCAAGATCGGCAGCGGCAGCTTCTCCAGTCCACCGAAAGGTTCCTTCCCAAAGTTGATGCGACCTCTGCCAAAATTTCTCGTCAGGGCAAAAGTAGCTCGCAGCTATGGGATGTTTGGGTCATCCAGGAGAACTGGCGTCCGGAGAGTGTGGCTTCGCCGTACTCTAACGTACTCAATACTGGGCCTATGTACGTCTTGTTGCATCCTCATCTGGCCACTGGGCCTCCAGTATTCAGACTTGTCAGGTCTGCAGGCGAAAGTCAGGTCGTCGTTTACTCCTAGTACCGTTTACCTCGCAGAATCAGAGGACCAATGGGCATACGCAGTATGGACGTCCGGGATCAGTCGAGTAGTGTGAGAGCGAGGAGTTTCGCCCTGCGCTACGTGGCCCTTGTCAAGCTGGAACTTCGCTTTTTCTTGCCTAGACTAGTCACAGTTGCATGCGAGTAGCCGCATGTGGCAGACGATGCTGTGAATCGAGAAAGGGCATGAATGCCCAACGAGCTTTGCATAAATGCAAAAAAGCCCGTAATGCTTGTGGCATGTTGTAACACAGTGTGCTCTTTGGCGTTTATTGGTCAGTCCTTGGGTTATTCGTTCTTGTACCCTGGCTTGTCTTGCTACAGCTCGCCCACGTGTGAGGTTGAAGGACATCCGCGTGGAGGAAGGTGGTAATCACTCAGGCGCCGCAACCGGACGTTATGTAGTACCGAGGGCATATGACGGGTTCACGGACATGGTCTGCCATATGGAAGTCACTCCTGAGCGCGCTGTTGCTGGACAAATACAAGTGTTGTCATAACCGCATTTGTACTGGCGTTTTTATTAGGCGGCAGCTTATCATTGCTTTTGCTGCTAGCTGCTTGAACAACCACCGAGTCACGAACGACCAACATGTACTTGTGGCGTACATTTGAAGTGGTGAAGGTAGGACTGCAGGCAACAGCTTGTAAGGCCTCGTTCTCGGAGACAATTAGAGCACGACCGTGCCGAACGAGGTGATGCTACCGGGTGATTGAACGGTAAGACCCTGATTGATTGGGCGCCACTTCTACGAGTCCAGAGATCCAGATTTCGAGATCTTGATAATCGCGAGTACTGAAGCTGTACCGCTACGAGCTACACAATTTGATGCGCAAGGGCGACATTTTTTGGTGCTCGATCACCAATCGATGCCAGGAAAGACATGCACCGCAATAATTGGTCCCCGCCGATCATGCCCATTCAACCCGCGGCTCTCCCTCGGAGACGAGTTCATATAGATGGACCCGAGCACACCTTTGTGCACATGGTGACGCCGTAAGACCTTCGACGCGTGCTTCCAGAAAGAGCGGTGGGCGCATGATGCTCCGTGCATATTGACTGGCATGCAGTATGCTGCAAGGTGAAGAAGGAAGCAGGGCATACCCATGGTGGGCGAAGGTCAGGTTCGGTAACCAGTTTCCAGATGGGGAAGCTGGCATACTCAGGAACGGCCGAAACATTTGAAACAATTACCCTCGTTCTGTACGGCGTTCGCGCATCTCCTTCCTCGACGATGGGTTCCGTGTCGATCTGGTCCACAAACGCGGTTCATGATCCAGCAGAAGACCTTGATATGCTGGACAACATGGCGAAGGAAGGTCCAAAAGAAACAGTGGTTCATCGCCGCCCAAAGCCTCCTAACCTACTCCAATGCACTATTAGATTGTCGAGTCTCCTGCGCAAACGGTGGCGTAATTCTCATGCGAGTTTGTGGGGTGATGCGCGCTGAAAGTGGCGAACGGCTCAAGTTGGCGAGCTCATGCTTCTGCAGTCTTGCGGGCCGACCGGGAGTTCCTGTATGGTTGGCGCCCAAGGGAACGCCTCAAGACATCTACTTGTAGCTGATGGAACCTGAGAGCTGAGACCCGTAGCGACCGCCAAGGTCCTGAACTACCTGGTTGTACATTCACTAGTGGCTAGTCAGAGGGATGAACCTGAAGCGACCGTACTGACGCGCTGCCATGCCGCGATCAGTCCCCTCTTTGCTGTAACTAGCGCTCAAATCCACAATCCTAGCTGTCGGTACCTTGGTGTGTTCATCAATTGCGGTTGAGTCCATGTTGCACTCTCATTGAGTCCAACTTGAATTTATATTTGTTGGGTAGACAACCTTGGTTGCGAAGTGTGGATGATCGGCGGCCGGGTCAGGGAACGCTGCAGCTGCTGTACAAGGATTGTCCCTTGCAACATGGACTGTTCCCAGGAGTGTCAGCCAAAGCTACATGGTAGCTTACGCGAGCGACATCGTGATGCACCTATTCACGCCCAGAGATCGGCACTAGCCGAAGCTCCGAGCCCACTGCATACCGAGATACGTTGATTAATGCGGCCCGCAGAGAGTAAACGATACAACGGGATGGCGTGTGGACCCACATCTGTACTGGTACTTCAAGCCGGCTAGATCAGAGGATGGTCCTTCAGCATGTCCCGCCATTACGTCCTGCAGGCGCCCGCATCTAGCGTCCCATGGCGGTGGTAAGGTGATAGCAAGGTCTCGCCGTCACATGACACATGGGGCAGCGTCGCCTCAAGCCATCGAGCATAAGAAATGACTATAAGATGGGAGGCAGGGTAACGTGCCCTGGATCTCCATCTATTGAGCGTCGCAGCGACTTTTCGGTTTTGTCTTTTCTTGAACTCGTGAATCCTCTGGAAATCTTTGACGATGAGCTTCGTCGCACCCAGTCCGCTTGCACAGAGCGCCGACAAGCAACTCCTCTTCACTCGACTCGGCCTGAACGAACAGGTCCACAAGTTACTCCTCGTGAGTCGTTATTTCCGTGTGATCTGCACGACGAGCGCTAACGGCACGCAGGGTGAAGCTCAAGCTGCAAGAGACAGGTTGAGCAGAAATGTACAGAACCTCACTGACCAGTCGAGGACCGACCCTTCGGTCACGGCACCTTACAAATGGGACGAGATATCCGAGACTGCGAAGCATACCGAGATCCTGACTGTTGTGAACAACGCTGGCCCACAGACGAGACCATATTACGGAATGGGTCGATACATGACCAACGTCAACGAAGAGAACTGGGTCGCAAGGTGGTATCTGTGGCACAGCTTCCGATACCGGTTCGTGGAGGTTGGTCTGTCAATGTGTCTTTGCTGACGCTCTGATGCAGAGACAACCGAGACAACAGGGCTCGAGGTACGGCCAATAACGGTAATCAGGCATATAGCGGCAAGTAACAGTCCGGAAGACCAACCGGTGAAAGCTTCTGAGATTACCGACTGACAATTGACAGGCAATCCGGTGACCTATGGTACAGTGGGTGGTTACTACGACCCGGTGTACGGGCGTTATCGTTGACGATGCTCACAACGATAGCGGTAGTAGCGTTGTGCACGTCAAACGTGCCAATATTCGGAGATCGCAGTGGAACATTAGGGCGCCTCCCTTTGTAGATGTGCAAGTTGCTAGGTGGTCTTCACCACGGGCGATGGGCGATGTAGATGATCCTGCCTGATCCGCCAGCAAGAGTCCGCTTCCTCGGATAAATAATCTTTCGGTCGTATTCATTCCTCCGGTATCCCGTGTTTTCCTGATTTGAGGACTTACAGTTGCGTCTTGTATGGATCTTCAATTCATCTCCTGGACGCTTTCGTTAATGCCAGAGATCCTACATACCTGAAGTGTGTATGAACAAGCACCCGTTCTCATTGTATTTGGTACCACAAATGTGACAACTGGGCTCGATTGATCTTGCGCAGAATGTGCTGGAGGGCAGCGATCGGTGAAATTTCATGCTAACAGCAAAGAAGAAGATGGAGGTGGTGATGAACGGAATGTAAAGTTGGGGTCTGACGAGTCGAGATGGACAATGTGGGGCACATTTCATCGGAGCCGCGCTGGTTCAGGGTGAAGGAAGGAACATTCGGCCCTGGATAGCTGATTGCATGGTGGCAAACAACAGATGAGAGAGCAGTACAAACTGCGCGCACTGACGATGTGCGAACTAAAGTACCACTGCGATGTCTGGTGTTATGCAATAAGTCGCGCATGATGTCAGAGCGTGCATGGCCGCTGTTGGAAATTTGTGGTTACACGTTCGTGCTGGGGCAGCTTCATTATTGTGAGCTGTCGCCTCGTTCCACAGTCAGGCGACTTTCATCATTGAGTATCGATCATAACAGGGATCCTACACGGTCGACAAGGCCTCGTTACGGAAAGCGGTAGCATTTCCTAATTCAGCATAAAAGGCGGAATATTTACGAGAGTATCTTGCTCTACAGTTGAAGACTTGAGCCACACAGCACAGTTGGGCGTTATGCTAGAGTAACGTCAGCTGTTCGCGCAGTTTTGATGGTGCATTAGTGGCTATAGGTGGTCTACAGTGCTTTGTAACCCTATAACGCCATCGTTAGGCAGGAACACACAAAACACCCGTTACTAAGACAGGATATAGCCGGCCTCACAAGCCGTTCGGGGGGGCCTGTGCCAACTGCTCGTTAAGGGCCTTCTGGTACTGAATTCGTGCGGCGTCGATGGCTCGCCTGAGTGGCTGCATGATCTGAGCGACTGCACTCGCGCCACCCTTGACAACGCTAGGGTTGAACTTCCTCCTCTTGCCAGTTTGCTGTGTATACAGTTCATTGCGTCTCTGGAATTGCTCGATCTGCGCGTTTCGCTCGGCCTCAGCAGCGTTTGCAACAGCGCTGATGCGGTCCAACGACCTGTCCAGCGTCTCAATAAGCTTGGCGACTTCATTGGCGCGCTCGGGATCGCCAGAGTGATACACGTCCCAGAAGTAGTGCAGAAACTCGACTGTGGTGTTGTGCGTCATGGTGAGATTGTCGAGGATGGTGTCCGAGACGCCCAGCTTGGCTGCTTGCTCATTGTTGAGCATGCCTTTTGCCGATGGATATTCATCTTCATGCAGATGCCGCTTCTCGATAGCCGCGATGATTTGTGTCGTAGCTGCAGTTCGCCCTGCTCTGCTTCCCACCTTCAGTTTCTTTGTTACGCCGCTCTCATCCTCGTTATCGCTATCATCGTTGATAGCGATTTTCGAGTGCAGATCGGTTCCGGGTGTCCTGCTGTTTGTGTCGATGCTGGCAAAATCTTGCTGCAACGTGGAGAGTACCTCTGATGGCGTACGTTTTGTGTAAGCCGCAGCGCTAGTCGATGACTGCACACTTTGACTAGCAGAAAAGAGGCGACTCTGGTCCTGGACTTTGAGCACGACTCTGTTGTCGTCCGACGCGCGCTGCAAATCTCTCAACTGCAGCTCCTTGTACGTGTCCTCGTCTTGGCCAGCAGGTGTATGGTGATTGTCTACCAGAGGTACGTCCTTCATCAGCTTCTCGCTCATACGGTTCAGAACGCGCAGAATCGGCGCCTTCTCGTTACTTGAGGGGACCATGGTCCAGTCTTGGCGGTTGCCCTTCTGCTGACTGTGATTCTGTTCATTTCCTTCGATATTGATGAATAACGGGATAGTATCAATAAGTATCTGCTGTGCAGCGTCCACAATTTCCTCATGCTTGAGGTATTTATCGAGTCTCGTGTCTGTGACGTAATCATCCGGTATGCGCTCGCCCTTCAGTTTTTTGAAGAGCCGACTGTGAAAGAAACGTTCCCAAAACTCGCCCTCGCTTAGAGGCGGTACTATCTCGTTGTATGCCGTTTTGACAATGGGATGCTGACGAAACACGACCTCGATCTGCTCCTTGGTCAGGTTCAACATCAGAGTGCCATTAACGTTCTTTGACTTGATCACAGACAACACATTGTATGAACCAGTGGTCTGGCTTTTTTCGGCTGCGTGGGATCGGAGGAGGTTCAGACGCGTCGACCAGAAATGGTTGGAGAACTGCCCCATCGTGACAGACGCCGGCTTCTCCCCTAGTGCGCGATCGAAGCGCTGGCGCATCGCGGGACTTGAGTTCAGGAGCGACATCTGGAGTTCGAGGTCGCTGAGCAGCTTCGCATCGGCGTACAGGTCTTCTTCCTGTTGCGCACTTGCCGCCACAGTCTTTGCCATGGTGATGGCGCCTGATGCACCGCTGACATTGCCGCCGGGAGTTGCCACGGCCGGCGTCACAGCTAGAGTCTCCTGTGCCTTTGCAGCTTCAATGCCCTTCTGCAGCAAGCCTCTGATCATTTGCTGATCATCGCGAGGAGCTGCTGAGGTAAATGTAAAGGTATGGTTACCAGCTAGCGGCGAGCTTTCGACAACGACAATCTTGATGGAGGATTTCGCGGCGGTGGCAGGTGTCTGCTGGAGATCTGGAGCAGTACAATCAGCTTCCATTCCCCTTTGTATGACGCGGCGCACCTACTTCCAATGTCTGCTATTGCTATCGCCAGCCCAGGTCCACCACCCTCCCATGACACCGTCGTTGCGTCCGCCGATACGAAGAGGGTGCCATCTTTCTTCTTGTACTGGGCTGCAGCGCTGGACATGCTGGTGGACGAAGCCTAGTGCGGCGATGATCGCTGACGCGCCGCCGCGGGAGTGCTTATCACGAACAGAAACGCGCTAGGCTTCCCCAGATCACGAAGGCACGTTGCAACTTCACCTTCAGACTAGAGTGGCTGTCCGGTAGTGTATTGCGACGCGGAATGATCGCCCTATTATGTAGAGGACTCAAAGCATGCCCCCAGACAAACCTGATGATCGACTACCATTTCTTTTAGCGCAGTTCTGCCGCCGCCGATTCTCCACATGCATGCTTGCATGCGCAAACGTCACAATGTATGCACATGGAGGCAGATACCTACCAATGTCCAAGGCGATGAAGTCAAGCAGCACCTGTCCTTTGGAGGCCGCTCTCAGGAACATTTTCGAGTTCTTGCGGATACTTTTCCGCGCGTGCAGTCTCAATGTTCTCAGGCGACGTCACAAGACGTGCATTCTTACATAATGTGGCCGCTATTGGCCAGCCTTTCGAGGCTTTTGCAACCACACGATAGCTGCCACAGATGCACATCTGACGGGTCTTGCACCTGCTCGACCAGATAACGGAGGGTCGAATGGTGCTGCGTGCACGATGCAGATGCGCAACCTACCAGCTTGGTACCGATGGCATGAGACGCAGCTGTGAATGCAGGTGCTTGAGGCATTTCCGGCATGCAGCCCTCTTAAGGTTGTCGATGTTCATGAACAACGCTATGCGCAAGGGGCTTAGCCGGGTCCGCGTGCGAGACAGGCTCCGCTTGCTCCTTCCTCGTCTTCCGCTTCAGCAGCTGCTCAGAAGTTTCCCTTCCGCCACTCTGTCGTCCATTTGGATGTCACCCATCTAATCCGCCCCATCTTCTCTTCCGCTTCTTCATCATGTTGCGCACAACGTTGCGACAATGCTCCCGGCAGCTGCAGAGCTGTTCGGCAAAAGCAAGGCTCTCGACGGTCGCCGCCTCGCCAGCCAGGACGAATGTCATCACGACCTGCCGTCGCCCGTTGGCGAAAGCTCAGCGTCGCCACTATGCCCTCGCCGCAGAGGAGACTGACAAGGGCGTTGTACGTGGACGCAGCAAGCTGTGAAGATTTCGAGGGCATAGCTAACTACGACCGCACAGGACCCCAACGACAGCTTCTTGAGCGGCAACACTGCCAACTATGTTGACGAAATGTACATGCAATGGAGGCGCGACCCGTCGAGTGTTCACATCTCGTGGCAGGTCTACTTCCGCAACATGGAGTCCGGCGACATGCCCACTTCGCAAGCCTTCCAGCCGCCACCCACAATCGTTCCCTCGACCAGCTCCGGAATCTCTGATATCAGGCCTGGTCTTGGTATGGGTCCTGGCGAGGGCTCAGATGTCATGAACCACTTGAAGGTACAATTGCTGGTGCGCGCGTACCAGTCTCGTGGTCACCACAAGGCGAAGATTGACCCCCTCGGCATCCGTACAGAAGCCGAGCAATTCGGCTACAGCAAGCCCCGTGAGCTGGAGCTGTCCCATTACAATTTTTCCGAGAAGGATTTGGACCAGGAGATCGAGCTCGGCCCCGGTATCCTGCCTCGCTTCAAGAGCGAGAGCCGCAGCAGGATGACCCTGCGCGACATTATCGACGCTTGTGAGCGCCTCTACTGCGGATCCTATGGCATTGAGTACATCCACATCCCCGACAGGGAGCAGTGCGACTGGCTGCGTGAGCGCATCGAGGTTCCTCAGCCCTTCAAGTACTCCGTTGACGAGAAGCGTCGCATCCTGGACCGTCTGATCTGGGGTACCAACTTCGAGGCTTTCTTGGCGACAAAGTACCCCAACGACAAGCGTTTCGGTCTCGAGGGTGGTGAGAGCTTGATTCCCGGTATGAAGGCGCTCATCGACCGCAGTGTCGACTACGGTGTCAAGGATATTGTAATCGGTATGCCCCATCGTGGACGTCTTAATGTCCTGTCCAACGTTGTCAGGAAGCCCAACGAGTCCATCTTCAGCGAGTTCGCCGGTAGCGCGGAGCCCTCTGATGAAGGTTCTGGTGATGTGAAGTACCACTTGGGAATGAACTTTGAGCGTCCTACACCCTCTGGCAAGCGCGTTCAGCTGTCCCTGGTCGCCAACCCATCTCACTTGGAAGCCGAGGACCCTGTCGTGCTCGGCAAGACTCGCGCCATTCTGCACTACAATAACGACGAGAAGGAGGCCCGTACCGCCATGGGTGTCCTGCTCCACGGAGATGCTGCCTTTGCCGGTCAGGGTATCGTTTACGAGACCATGGGTTTCCATGCTCTTCCCAGCTACCACACCGGAGGTACCATTCATATTGTCGTCAACAACCAGATTGGTTTCACCACCGACCCTCGATTCTCTCGTTCCACTCCTTATTGCTCTGACATCGCCAAGGCTATTGATGCGCCCGTCTTCCACGTCAACGGTGACGATGTCGAGGCCATGAACTTCGTCTGTCAGCTTGCTGCTGACTTCCGTGCTGAGTTCAAGAAGGATGTCGTCATTGACATGGTCTGCTACCGTAAGCAGGGTCACAACGAGACTGACCAGCCTTTCTTCACTCAGCCTCTAATGTACAAGAAGATCTCAGAGCAGAAGCCCACCCTTGACCTCTATATCAACCAGCTCTTGGAGGAGAAGACTTTCACCAAGGAGGACATTGAGGAGCACAAGGCTTGGGTCTGGGGTATGCTTGATGAGAGCTTTAACCGCAGTAAGGACTACCAGCCTACTGCTAAGGAGTGGCTGACTTCCGCCTGGAACGGCTTCAAGTCGCCTAAGGAGCTCGCTACTGAGGTCCTGCCGCATCTGCCTACTGCCGTTGAGGAGTCCACTTTAAAGCACATCGCTCAGAAGATCGGAAATCCACCTGCGAGCTTCAACGTCCACAAGAACCTTAAGCGTATTTTGGCTGGCCGCACCAAGACCGTCGAGGATGGCAAGAACATCGACATGGCCACCGCCGAAGCCTTGGCCTTCGGATCTCTGTGTATGGAAGGGCACCACGTCCGTGTATCTGGTCAGGATGTAGAGCGTGGTACCTTTTCACAGCGCCACGCTGTCCTCCACGACCAGGAGAACGAGAAGACATACACGCCTCTCCAGGACCTCAGCGATGACCAGGAGACCTTCACTGTCTGCAACTCCTCGCTCAGCGAGTATGGAGTGTAAGTTGGCCCATATCGCAAATATCCATCTACAACTGACAGTTCCTAGTCTCGGATTTGAGTACGGTTACTCTCTGTCCTCTCCCAATGCTCTCGTCATGTGGGAGGCCCAATTCGGTGATTTCGCCAACACCGCTCAGGTCATTATTGACCAGTTCGTTGCCTCTGCCGAAGTCAAGTGGCTCCAGCGATCCGGTCTCGTCATGAGCTTACCGCACGGTTATGACGGTCAGGGTCCCGAGCACTCTTCTGGTCGTATGGAGCGTTACCTCCAGCTTGTCAACGAGGACCCCCGTATCTTCCCTGCCCCGGAGAAGCTCGAGCGTCAGCACCAAGACTGCAACATCCAGATCGCTTACTGCACAAAGCCCTCCAACTACTTCCACTTACTCCGTCGCCAGATGAATCGCCAGTTCCGCAAGCCTCTCATCCTTTTCTTCTCGAAGTCGCTGCTCCGTCACCCCATGGCTCGTTCGAACATTGAGGAGTTCACCGGCGAGTCACACTTTGAGTGGATCATCAAGGACCCTGCGCATGAGTCTGGTGAGATTGGCACGAACGAGGAGATCAAGCGTGTCGTTCTTTGCACAGGTCAGGTCTACACTGCTCTAGTCAACGAGCGCAAGGCTCGTGACTTGAAGGATGTCGCCATCACCCGCATTGAACAGCTGAACCCCTTCCCATGGGAGCAATTGAAGGAGAACCTCGACTCTTATCCCAACGCTGAAAACATCATCTGGGCTCAGGAGGAGCCTCTCAACGCTGGTGCTTGGAGCTTCACACAGCCCAGGATTGAGACATTGTTGAACCAGACAGAGCATCACAACAGGCGTCACGTCATGTACGCTGGACGCAACCCCAGTGCTTCCGTCGCTACTGGTCTGAAGGCTTCCCACAAGAAGGAGGAGAAGGACCTGTTGGAGATGGCATTTACTGTCAAGCAGGATAAGCTCAAGGGCGAGTAGAGGAAGACGTGCTAAGATTTCCCATGTTTCCAGTAGTCTGTCCGAATTTGCTTGCATTGTTTTATCCCCCATTTCTGCGTCGCTCGCCTTTCAGAGCGTCATGAAGCTTGTTAAAGGGTTGGATAGGGAGTCTTTCTGTACATTTGCATGGTTATCAGTGTATGTGTAGGAATGTAGAAAACCCGGATTTTAATGTTCAACAACGCGTACTGCTGCATTCACGCCTCCTGGGTACATTGTGTGAGTATCATTGCACAGACATTTCGCTCGGTGCGAAGTACGCCGAACGCTCGAAAGCGGGCTGGATAAATTATCCTGTGACTCGAGCTGTCGTTGGGCCCTGAATCTGCGCGATATTGGTCTGGCCAAAGATCCTCCGTTCCCGCGCGATAGGTGAACGTGCGGGACTAATTCAGGCACGCGTGATGCTCGAGGCTGTCAACATGTCAGACTCTATTTGACACTAGAGTAATTGTACGAGGGCGAAGCAAGTCTTTACCCAGCACGTGGAGCCTCTTGAAGTGGCCATGGTTATCTCGATGCCTCCAAACGTCTACTGTACCTGAACATGGACCCTATCCTCAACGTTCGTGAGGCTGATGCGGGCAACCTCGCGTATGAATTTACATCCGCGGGTCGGAAGATCCCGGGGCAGGACGTCAGCTGGAGGAGCTGGAAAGTGCCCCGCAACGCCCCTCCATTCGGTATCCGAACTTGCATCATCGTCAAAGCTCCCGCCCTGCCGCCGCAAAGCGCATTGACATCGGCGCTCGTGTGACGACGCGGTGTTTTTCGCGGGAAAAGAGCCATCAATCAGCTTCTTCCGAGCTCTTTGCGAGTTCTTCCGCCACAATTGAGGCACCTCCAGAGCCCTAATGGCTGAGATATCGTGAGCCTGTGACTTGCCGAGGGCAGCTGTTGCGGATGTTCAACCGATGTGTCTCCTAAACAAATACCGACTTGTCTCCGCATGCCCGACTTTACCCACTTGGACCCAGACATCTGACTTCATAATAATTGCTGGCGCCGATGATCGTGAATTCCATCTGATTTTCCCTGCTTCGACCTCTTCACTTCTTCTTCTTCTTCTTCTTCTTCTTCTTCCACACTCTCAGATACCCCTTTCCGTCTTCAGGATACCGCCAGTACACGTAACACGTAATACTGTCACAACGAACATCATGACGACCAACGGCGAGCAGCAGAATAAGCAGGACGTGATCAACACCGACATCATCACCCTCACCCGATTCCTCACAGAAGAGCAGTCGAAACACAAGGAGGCAACCGGCGACTTCACGTTAGCTCAAACGCGCGGTCCTGTGAGGTCTAGGCTAACAAGCGACCAGACTTCTTTGCCACGCCCTCCAATTCGCATTCAAGAGCATCGCCTACTACATTCGAAGAGCATCGTTGGTCAACGTACGCAATTTTGAAGCCTTCAGCATGTGACAGATACTGACGTTCGCAGCTCACGGGTCTAGCTGGTCAGTCTAATGCCACTGGTGACGATCAGAAGAAGCTCGACGTAATCGGCGATGAGCTCTTCATATCTGCCATGCGATCCTGCGGTCGTGTGCGCGTCCTTGTCTCCGAAGAGCAGGAGGAGCTGATCACATTTAACGAGTTCCCCGAAGCTCGCTACGCCGTAGCATGCGACCCCATCGACGGCTCTTCCAACCTCGACGCCGGTGTTTCGGTCGGCACTATCTTCGCTGTTTACAAGCTGGCCGAGGACGCAAAGGGCACAAAGGAGGACCTTTTGAAGCCTGGTACCGAGATGGTCGCTTCAGGATTCACCATGTACGGCGCCTCTGCACAGCTCGTCATCACAATGAAGGGTGGCAACGTCAACGGCTTCACACTCGACACCGCATTTGGCGAATTCATCCTCACACATCCCGACATGCAGATTCCCAAGAAGCGTGCCATCTACTCGGTCAACGAGGGTAACTCGCTCTACTGGGAAGACCCCGTCAAGGAGTACGTCAACAGCTTGAAGTACCCCCAGGAGGAGGGTGGCAAGCCATACAGTGCGCGTTACATCGGTTCTATGGTCGCTGATGCGTACCGGACACTGCTGTACGGCGGTATCTTCGCGTACCCTGCTGATAAGAAGAGCCCCAAGGGCAAGCTGCGTATCTTGTACGAGTGCGCGCCCATGGCTATGGTCTTTGAGAACGGTGAGTCAATTCTTCGCCTTCTACAGATGTTTTTGAACCAATGCTGACATCACACGCAGCTGGCGGCATGGCTATCAACAGTAAGATGGAGCGCATGCTCGAAGTTGTGCCCGAGCACATCCACGACCGATCGGGTATCTTCATGGGCTCGGAACAAGAGGTACAGAAGGTCATCGACACACACAAGAAGTTCCAGAAATAGGCGTTTCGCGACTGGATTAGTTTTGAGCAAATCAGTTTGGCAAAAGCATTGGAATGGCACATAACCAGTACGCTATGAATGGACATATCACAACTCGCAGATCCTTTGGATTGAGCAATTAGGATCCCGGCCGGTATGCATGTGCGTGAGATCGACGGCACGAGAGCGTTGGTGTTGGTGGCTGTTTGTCTACCGCACCTCGAATGAAGGATGTGAACTCCTCCATTGCCCGCTCTACCACCGATTGCGCACCTATATCTGTGCCCCGAAAGACATGTAGGCCTAGCTTGCCAATTCTGTACAGCATTGGCACTTTCAAGGTGTTTTGGTTGTGCTGGAATCTTTCCAATGGTTTCACGATTGTATCCAATTCAAGATCCAGCTCAGCCAGCAACCAGACCACCTACAGATTCCATGCCGCACGGATATACGACAACCTTCTCTCTCTTCTCGGGCTGACTATCAACAATCGGCTATGTATCGGCGCGACTCAGTCACCGCTCATACCCTGTTCTTACTCAGGCTCTACTAGCAGGCTCGTCTACCAGCATGCTTCCTGTCCTTGCTCTACCCTGCATGACCCTTTCGGTTGCCTAACGTTCATACTAATACTGTCGACATCCGAGACGGCTATCGTTGGTGAAACCCCAGGCTTGCAGGAGAATTCATCTGGTCATGCATGTGATGTGGGAAGTGGGAGGTGATTCCAAGCTGCATGGAAGATGCCGTGCTATATTTAGCGTGTATCTGGGGTCTGCCGAACCCTGGCAGCAGAAAGCTCGAGACTTCACTTCGACACGATGCATGGACCTCTCTAGCAATACAGAGTCAAGGGCATTCACAGACTATATACATCTCGAAAGATTGCTCACAAATTGCGGCCACGAAATCGAGAAGACGGAGTCTCTGTGCGACCTCCATGAACTGGCATGATACCATTTAGGTCTTTACATAGCCGCCTGCGCTAGTCTCGCCTGCTCGACTGCCGTATTGATTGGCGCAGACCGGTCTCAAGCTTCACGCTAAGACCGCCAACCCTCTCTCCCCAACGCCCGGATCGTCTCTCCTGCTGGCTCGTGCTGGGCAACGGGGCGAATGGGACTGCCAGCGTCCACTCTGTCCATCGCCATGCGGCCTCGCCTTCCTTCCGTCGGCTATAGCATGCCCAGTCTTGCAGGGGTGCAGTCGTTTCTTGTGCAGTGGCTTGTTTGAAGAGGTAACAAACACGGCTCTGCAAGCCCCCCAGCCCGGTGAACGAACGGTCGCAGAATACCGAGTAGGATTCGCCGCGCAGCACGCTGGAGCCGCCAGAGGCTTCCGGGCGTTCAGGCCCTCCTACACAGTCAACGGTGTGAAGCATGCCTTCTCACAACCATCCCGGCGTGCCTCCTCCGCCAGCGAACGCGTTCCCATACGGGCAGCCCATCACTCCTGGCCGTGCTGCTGCCGTGCGACCGGGCATCATCACACAAGGCACTACTTTTGTGCAGACTCATGGCAATCTGCAGACTCCGGCGAGCGCGACCTCTTTAAGCCCCTTCTCCCCGTTCGCGCACCATTCGTCCTCGCCGTATGCACCCTCGCCCGTAGCGAGCTCGCCAATGGCTACCCCGTACAATCCACAGCAATGGAGAGGGAACGGGCGATCGGGTGTGCAGCATGCGCCCCAGCAGACGCAGATGGCCATCAACCCAGTACGGGCCCAGGACTTGTCAGGCCACGAAGGCGCAATGCCCTCCCCGCCGCCGCCGTACACGCCTGCGCACGCTCAGAACCAGACCATGTCGCAAGCACTGAGCTCGTCGCCGGGACATGCCTTCTCCCAAAACCACCCTCCTCCACCGCCTACACCGCAGACCGGCACGCCCTCGTCTGCGCGCGCAGCTCGAAGCTTCCACAACCTTCCTGTCCCGATAGCCATACCCTCTGGCTCTGCTGCCGCGCCAATGAACACCCAGTTCGCACCACCACCTGTGGCGTCTGGCAGAGAGCGGTCGTCTTCTCGTGGGCTGTCGACTAAATTCAGCTTGTCCAACTTCCGTAACAGGAATAACGACCACAGTCCTGCGCCAAGTGCTATCGAGTCACTACATATGAGCACGCATGACGTGCTCCAGCGAGGCGATCCTGGATCTTCTTCGCAGCGCAGCTTCGCTCAATATACTCCCAGTCCTCTGGATCGACGACATGTCCCGGATACCGATTCACCCATCAGGCCACCGAATTCGAGAAGAGCTGCATCCGCTGGCATCCTTGGCCATGGCACCGAAACTCGAACGCCTGTCAGTGAGACACCCCCAAATCTTCTGTCAAGTTGGGGCCCTGGCATGCCGCTGCCGCCTCCGCCGCCCGGTCCTCCGCCGCCCGGTCCTCCACCGAGCAATTCGAGATCGCAAAGTGTTGGACCTGGCTATGACTCGGGCCGCTCGTCAGGCTATCCTTCTGCCCCTCCGACGCGTAGACCCGGACAAACCACTCTAGGACCTATTCCACCAACACCGATGGGCTGGGAAGACGAACCCACGCAGACCTCAGCACCACCGGCTTCACCCCCAGTAAGATCACCAGCCGCTCACGGCCTGCATGTCGACACGAGCCCACAGACTAGTCGCCATGGCGAGTATGTCGCACCACCTCCAGAGACGGAGAGCGAGTCGACAGTCTCTGGTCCATCAATGACATCACACTCGGGATCGGGCAGCACGATCTCAAGACCTAGACGCGAGGGCAGTGCTCGCGGCAGTATTCGTGAACGCAGGGAGGAGAGTCGTGCTGCACGTGAGCGACGCATCGAGCCAAACAATAACCCATGGGCCCACGACCTCGAGGTGTCCACATCAAAAGCGAATTTCGAACTTCCCTCGCCTGCTGAAAGTGGCCTGGCACGACGTGGTGCAGTCACAAGGCATACACCACGAAGCGCTGGAGCACTTCGATCACCGAGAAGTGCACATTTGTACGATGATCCGGGGTCTGCCAATTCGACACCGCGAGTCATCACAGGCCCACGAGCTGTGTCTGGCGCTGCCCCCACGCCACCCTTCTCGCCAGGTACGGATCATCGTTCTCAGAAAGTCCCCGCAGTGTTCCCTGCCAAAGCTCTTCCTACACCTCCTCCGCATTCTGCCGAGGATGAGAGAGGTCTGACAACTCCATTAGGGGTCGCAAACCGCTCCGTGTCGCAGGCGTCGCTGCGCTCTGTTTTCACACCACATGATGCATCACTCACTACGCCGAGACCGACGGATCGAGATGCGTTCGCTCAAGCGTCGATCGAGCGGCATCGAGCCTTTATCGAGAAAGAGATGCACGCTGAGAACGACGAAGAACGCCTAGAGCTCTTTGCTGAGTTTATGGTCGCCGAATCTAGGGTTCGCCGAGATCGGTACTCGATTGCCTTCGACGCTATGGCAGGCGATGTTGTGGATTTGACTAGGGATTTGTGGCGGTCGAACAAGTTATCTGGACGAAGGGCTATGACTCCAAGTGCCCAAGTCACTCCTTCGTATCCAAGCAAGCGCTCTGGGTCCGTTGCAGGCGAATCGACTGACACAAGACCTTCCGATTCCATGCCTACAACAGCGGCGAGCCCTGGATCCTCTCGAGGCCGATTCACACCACACACTGAGCCGGCCTCGCCCGCCAGCGCGTCAAGCCAACGCGCTCGTGATGCTCCTTGGAGCAATAACTACCACCCTTCGCTATCGCCGATTCCCAGCATGGCCATGAGCACGGTTCCAGATGAGGAAGACTCGAGAGGCCGTTCGGCTAGCCGGTGGTGGGAGAGCGACGATGGCTCGCAGGGTGTCGGTGGTAGGCGGCTGGAGCGAAGCAAGAGAGAATCGAAGTACATGGGTCTGGTGATGGAGACGCAGGAGAGCTTCCACCCCGATGGGCAGAATCAATCTACATCCAAGCACTACCGGGCGAGTTCCAGCAACAGACCAGCACCTTATGGCCCAGACGAGTATCCACTTGAAAAGGGTGGAATTCACGAAGGGAAAGGGAAACAGCCGGCCTCATACGACTACTTCCCGACTTCAACACCACCAGCAATCGACCCGCATAAGCTCGATGTGTCTAGGCTTGTGACACTTCCGCCATCTCATCCGCGTCACCACCCTGCCGTCAACAACAACCACCCTGATCTGGCCTCTATTCGCAGCAGCCTTCGAACTTTGACGGATCTGGCCGAGGTAAAGACCACCAAATCTGCATTCGCGACGAAGATAGAAGCGCGTAAGGAGTCGGAGAATGCATCACTAAATGATCGACGGGCGCAGATTCGGTACAATATCCAAGAGAATCTCCGAAATGGCCAGATGGATTTCCAGGATGCAGCGAAAGCTGACGCGGAGTTTGAAGCTCGGGAGCACCAGCGGGCGCAGGATGTAGTTCAGAACATATTCGATACCTTCCAGGCCGAGGTCGCGAACACCCTACATGCTGTATTTTGCGAGCGTGTAACCAAGGTCACGGCGTCTATCGAACAGTTGAAGGGTCGTTTGTCGACTGAGGCGCAAGAGTTGAACCCCAATCGGACCCAAGAGGAAGGGGACGAAAAGCCTGAACTGCTGGAAATGCTCACGCTATTGAAGTGGCTGTTTGAGCTCCGTGAGCAGCTTCACAAGGAGCTCTTCGAGCTGGAGAACGAGCGCAACGATCTGTATCGAGACATCATCGTATTGCCCTATTTCCAGGCCAAGAACGACCAGAAGGTCAAGGAAGCAACCGACTTTTTCCGCCGCGACGCACAGGACCGTAAAGTCGCATTCGAGAAAGAGATCCTGAAGCGCTACGAAGACTTCCTCGAAGTCATTGAGCGCAACGTTACACGCGGCGTCGAGACACAGCTCTCAGCCTTCTGGGACATCGCGCCCGGCCTGTTGGCAATCGTGCAGAAAGTGCCGGACCAGCTTGACGGTTTTGGCATCCTGATCCCGGCCCAGGAGTACAGCGAGAACCCGACATACCACAACTTCCCGCTGCAGTACCTCTACACTCTTCTCGCGCACGCCGGGCGCTCGACGTATCAATTGATCGAGTCACAAATCAACCTACTATGTCTGCTACACGAGGTCAAAACCGCAGTCATGACAGCTGGCTCGCGCCTCCTCGAGACGCAGAGACTACTGGAAGGGGAAGACCTTGCTAGCGTGGACGGCGAGATGAGAGCTATTCGTGCCGACGAAGAGCAGCGCCTGACGGATGACTTGAAGGAGAAGGTCGGGCTTGTCGAAAGTCAATGGAATGAAGCTCTGGGGCAGGGTTTGAAGGAGTGCAAGACAAAAGTTGAGAAGTTCCTTACTGAGCAAGGGAGCTGGGACGATAGTTTGAGTGAGTAGTGGGGCAGGCACGTTCGTTTGGTTCTTTGTTGGATTTGTGCACAGATACCCATCTTTTGTGGTCGTTTGTAGATATGTTGGAATGGTGTGTTGGAATGATGTCGCAGTATTCGCGTGTTTGTTGTGAGTGTCACATGCAAATATCACCTTTGGGCATTCACGCCACCATGTGCAGACCTTTTGGCAGCAGTGCAAAGCAGAAGCTTCGCTCTTGTTCATAGGCATCAAAACTCGGCGTGACTAGCTCAGTCGTGCACGCGGCTGTGGCTGCCTATCTCATCGAACGCGTCTGACATGTGGTCAGGGCTACAGGAACCGCCGTTTCGCAAGGGTTGGAACCCTGTGTGCGCTTTCCGGAACGGTAGCAAACGATATCAAGGGCTACTGCTCCTCTTTGACGGCTTTGACGTCAGTCACTGATTTTGTTCAGTCCGACTGCCATTCGTTCGGGTGTAAAGAAAGCTCGTTCGTTCACCGCCTACCCCAAAAGCAGCTAGCGGCATGCACTGACCGGCGCCTCACAGAAAATATCCCACTTGAAAGCACTGTGTGCCTCTATCCTCCCACCGTTTTCCACCACCACACACAAAGCTCTCCAAAGTTCCGGTCCTCTCACGCGGATCGTCACATAACAGAAAAGAAACAAAAAAATCCAGAAAACCACAAAAAAATCCCGTGCGACGCACTCCGCCCGCTTCGTCAACCCCTCCACCGTTGTCGAGCGACCTTTCCCTTTCACGACCGCACGTCGCAAGTAGAAGGAAAGTAGCGCATCCATCTGTCCACTCCCTAGGCCTCCTCAAGGACCTTCAGCACCCGCACACTTCTCGTTGCAGGTCATTTGACGCGCAGGTGAGTCCAATCTTTTCTGGTGAAGCGAGCGCACCTGCACATGCCCACCCTGCACCTTCCCGCAAAATTCACAGCACACGGCAACTAACACTGCACCAGATACTCACCATGTCTGAAGTCGCCAACTCCACCTCTCCCGTCCAGGACGGCGCTGCCAACGCCAACGGCGCCGAGGCCAACACCCAGGTCTCCGCTGCCCAGAGCGAGGCTCCCACCCCCACTGCCCAACAGGCCCACCAGAACTCCGCCTCTCTCTATGTCGGCGAGCTCGACCCCTCCGTCACCGAGGCTATGCTCTTCGAGCTGTTCTCCTCGATTGGCCAGGTCGCCTCTATTCGTGTCTGCCGTGACGCCGTTACCCGTCGCTCGCTCGGTTACGCCTATGTTAACTACAACAGCTCTGAGGACGGCGAGAAGGCCCTCGAGGAGCTGAACTACACCGTTATCAAGGGCAGGCCTTGCCGCATCATGTGGTCTCAGCGTGACCCCGCTCTGCGCAAGACTGGTCAGGGCAATGTCTTCATCAAGAACCTCGACCACGCCATTGACAACAAGGCTCTCCACGACACCTTCGCCGCCTTCGGCAACATTCTGTCTTGTAAGGTCGCTCAGGACGAGATGGGTAATTCCAAGGGCTACGGATTCGTTCACTACGAGACCGCCGAGGCCGCAAACAACGCCATCAAGCACGTTAACGGCATGCTTCTGAACGAGAAGAAGGTCTTCGTCGGTCACCACATCCCCAAGAAGGAGCGCATGAGCAAGTTTGAAGAGATGAAGGCCAACTTCACCAACATCTACGTCAAGAACATTGACCTCGATGTCACCGACGATGACTTCCGCAAGCTCTTCGAGAAGCACGGAGATATCACCTCCGCGTCCATCGCAAGGGACGACCAGGGCAAGAGCCGTGGTTTCGGTTTTGTCAACTACGTCAAGCACGAGGCTGCCGCCGTTGCCGTTGACACTCTGAACGACAGTGATTTCAAGGGTCAAAAGCTCTACGTCGGTCGTGCTCAGAAGAAGCACGAGCGTGAGGAGGAGCTCCGCAAGCAGTACGAGGCTGCCCGTCTCGAGAAGCAGTCCAAGTACCAGGGTGTCAACCTCTACATCAAGAACCTCGGCGACGAGGTCGATGACGAGAAACTCCGCGAGATGTTCACTCCCTTCGGTACCATCACCTCCGCCAAGGTCATGCGCGATGCTGTCCCTGCTGAGGGCGCTAAGGCCGACTCTGACTCCGAGGAGAACAAGGCCGAGGCTGAGGAGGAGAAGAGGGAGGAGAAGAAGGAGGAGAAGACGGAGAGCGAGCAGGTCAAGGAGGAGTCCTCTGATGAGAAGAAAGATGACACCATCAAGGCGGGCGACAAGGTCACCATCAAGGGCGAGAAGAAGATCCTCGGTAAGAGCAAGGGCTTCGGTTTTGTCTGCTTCAGCAACCCCGACGAGGCCACCAAGGCTGTCACCGACATGAACCAACGCATGTTCGACGGTAAACCCCTCTATGTCGCTCTTGCTCAGCGCAAGGATGTCCGCAAGAACCAGCTTGAGGCTACCATCCAGGCCCGCAACCAGCTCCGCATGCAGCAGCAGCAGCAGCAGCAGTTTGGCGGCATGCCCCAGATGTTCGTCGCTCCTGGTCAGCCCATGATGTTCCCTCCCGGTGGCCGTGGACAGATGCCCTTCCCCGCTGGCATGCCCGGTCAGCAAGGCGGTCGTGGCTTCCCCGGCGGTATGCCCCAGCAGGGCGGTCGTGGTGGCCCCAATGCCCAGCAGATGCCTCCCATGTACATGCCCCCCGGCATGGCTCCTGGTGGTTTCCCCGCTCCTTACATGACTCCTCAGTACATGCAGCTCGCCGCTCAGGCTCAGCAGGCCATGGGTGGTCGTGGCGGTCGCGGCGCTGGCCCCATGCCTGGCATGCCCGGCATGCCCCAGGGTCAGATGGCCCCTGCCATGCGCGGTGGTCAGGGCTTCCCTCAGGGTGGCCGCGGAGGTCCTAACGGCCGTCCCGGTCAGGCTCCTCAGGCTGGCTTCCCCCGTGCTGGTGGCATCGATATGAACGCCCTTAACGCTGCCCCAGTCGGTCAGCAGAAGCAGATGCTTGGTGAGGCTCTGTACCCCAAGATCCACGAGATGCAGCCCGAGCTTGCTGGCAAGATCACTGGTATGCTCCTCGAGATGGACAACTCCGAGCTCATCAACCTGTAAGTTCCCCTCGATCTTGTACCATCACTTCTTACTGACGTACCGCAGCACCTCGGACGAGTCCGCTCTCCGCGCCAAGGTGGACGAGGCCATGAGTGTCTACGACGAATACGTCAAGAACAAGGACGGTGAGGGCGAGAAGGAGGCCCCCAAGGAGGAGATCAAGGAAGAGACCAAGGCTTAATTTCCTCTAGTTGCTACCGAGTAGGACTCGCTCCGCATCACTTTCGATCGACAGCAACCTATGGTTTCAACCCTTTCTTAATGGCGAACGGCGCACGGTTCATGGTTTCCTTCACGATGGCGGACGGCTTCACGAATGCACCTAAAAGTTCTGACGATTTCGACGCGGTCTACATTATCTCGACACTGACCCCTTAGCTGGACGTCGGCTGTCACCCAATCTCGATCTACTGAGTTGGGATTTTACGGTTCCTTGATTTGTTTTGTATCATAGACGGATGAGTCTGCGACAACAGCGACACGATATGGGTGGATCGATGGATTTACCAGTATGATACCTCACAGCAGCTGTTACAAACCTGAATGGCTTACGTTCGATCCCGATTGTTTACCGAGAGGGTAATGATGGTAGATGTATGACGGAGTGGACGATGGATATGAATGACATGGAGTAGATCTTACGGATGTAGTCGATAGTCCAACAGATCTTTGAACAACACACCTTGCGCCGCTAAACTATGATACTTTCATGAGCTTCCTCCCCCTAGTCGTATTGGCTGGCATGATACCTCTATTGCTTAGTGACGAACAGGGGAGCGATTTTCGGCGTCACGACTTGTTGCGCGATTGACTGGAACAGTACTTGGTGCTAGAGGTCTGCAACCGCTAGTTGAGTACGTAGCAGTACCACAGTTTGAACTTCAGTGAATTAATCACCAAGAACATTGGCTGACATCAGAGTCTTCTGGTACAGGGTCGTAAATTGCTTGAGGGGAAGTGATTCATGTAGGACAGCGATAAGCGTGTTGTTTAAGTATGTGCATGCATTCTAGAGCATCTCGAGATAGCCGACTTCGCCGAGTTAACTCTGATGAGCGAGTGAATGGAGCTGCATAGTCGCAATGTGAGCGAGAAAGCTGATATCCGTGACCTGCGTGTACCTTGGTCGTTGAGCAACGCTCGAGATTGTGAGAAAATACTGCTGGCGCGAGCTGTCGTTTCATAGCGGCAGCTGAAAGCATCCCAGCAAAAAAATTCCCGGATAGACGAAGCGGCCCCTTAATTTGCAGCTCTCGCTACTATGAGATGGTTGGAGAGGTAACCTAGATGTGCATCAAGTCGACTTTTGAGTCAGAAGAGGGTTCTGTGAACCATGGCATCTGAGCGACCGTTATTCTGGGTCGAGATCAGAAGTATTCAATGAAGAGGAAGAGCATCGACGGCAAGGAGCAGAGGAGAGACTCTCGTCTACTCGACGATGATCTCGCAGTCATGCCGTCAGGACCAACATTATATTTTGATGCTAAGCAAGAGTTCAATGTCGAGTAAGACCACAGCATGAAAAGCGCTTGGTAGTAGTGGGAATTATTGAACAATTTTTGTGGTCATGAGGAAGTAGTATTCGGCTTTTGACACTCCACAGTCAAATACGATAGAGTTGTGGAGAAAGGAGGGAGAGCAGAAAAGTGTGGTTTCGAGATTCGGGTAGCATGGCTCTTGCAACCTTTCGTATTACGATAATTGGATTGAAAGGTAAGAAATGGCATCCAGCATATTCTGCAAACTCGAGGAATCTCAAAAGTCATAACAATGTTGGCTCTATTTTCAAGCACAGAAGGAAACCGGTTTCGTACGGGTCTGGGTCTTGGGACCGCAGAAGCAAAGAGAGCAGAATTAGGCCTTCTTCGTCTTTTCGGATACATAGAGGGGATTGTGTGTGTTGTTGTCGGTAAAGTAGCTGCAGATATAAAAGTAGGCGAAGAACAAGATACCTTATTGCCGGAGAATGTTTGATTGAGACGACTTGTGCTCTAAAGCGATCTTAATCTCCATACCCATTTTTCCATCCTCTTTTAGAAGAGGAAACACTCTCTACAGAAAATATGAGAGTGCAGGACAGGTGCATGGCTTCTTTTACACTCCTAGGATCACAAAGCCCAAACCACATCCGAGTTTCCGTCAGATATCCCAACATGCTCCAGACCAGAGGAAGTTCGGACAAGGGCTTTCTTTGGTGAGGTAGCGCATCAGTACACCCAGCTCAGAGCAGACATAAAAAGTGAACCGAAATATTTCCTAGCAGACCAAGAATATACGCCAAAGCTCACATTCATTGTGAAATCCCTAATCACCAGCAACGACCAGAGAGACATGACACTCATCGGTGTAGCGTCTGACGGACCATGTCAGGCTGAAGTAAGTTTTTGGGTATAGAAGAAACGGTGTAGCTGGACGTTACATCTGGACGCGGAAGGTTTTGTAATCACTGGCGAGTATGCCTTGATCGGAGGAAGAGCACCGAAGGCAGCGACTATGCGCTGGGCGGCGACTGGTTAGGAAAACCATCGAGGTGAAGACACAATTTTGGGAAAGATATTTGGCAGAAAGAAACATCTGAACGTAGGGTCGTTCAAAGTTAAGTTTTCATGTTTCACGTTGAACGTGCTGATATCCGGTGATTGGTCACCAGCCTCACGGACATGTGCGGCTGACTTGGAACAAAGGAGAGTGCTGATTGATGTCTTCCCTCAACGCCGCGCTAATATATCTACATAATGTGTGCAGCTGGGATTCCACGGATATCGGACAGGTCTACCCAGTCTTACCCTCGTCATCGACCTCCGTCTTGCCCGCCTTCGGCTCATCATCGTCCTTGTCCTTCTTACCCTCTTTCTTTTTCCTGTCCTTACGCAACGCATCCGCGACCTTCTCGTCTTTCTCCTCCTTCATCTCATCCCATTCGACGTCGTACTCGTTGGCGATGGCCTTGATCTCCTTGCGCAGCGCATTGCCGTCTTCGATCAAGACCTCCCATTTCCGCAGGTCGAAATTTTTCTGGCTGTAGAGCTTAGACTGGCGACGCGAGATGGTGAAGTTCATGGCACTGCGGTACGAGACTTCACGGTTGTGGTACAGGAACCAGACGTAACCGCCAATAAGGGTCGAGAGACCGACGAGGTACTGTAGTCTGTCAGTATGTGAAAATATATTAATGTTATTTTCTTAGACGTACGGTTACTGGCTCCATAACGTCCCAGCCGAGCTCTGTCTGGAATGTGAGGTAGTAGACTACTCCCCACCATCCTACAATACCGCCAAATCCGGCCATAGCTACCGATTGTGCTGCCTTATGTGCAAGCTTGTCGCACAGTTCTTTGACCTCTGCCATTTCGCTAATCTGCTTAGACGTCTTCCTGAGGCGCATGCGTAGGTAGTATGTGCGGTCGTTGAACGAGGGCACACCAACACGGATCTCCTCTGGGGCGCCTTCGATCTCGATAGCGAACTCTTGGCCACGCGCTGCGTCGCGAATGAAGTCGCCCATCTCAGTGCTGCTAGACCAGCGCACGAACTTTCGGGTCGACACCTTGTCGCTGGGTGCATCTTGCCCGAGACCAGAGTACGATTCGACGCCACCCTCGCCATGGCCGCCGCGCAGTTCAACCGCCTCGTCAGGCGTCTTGCGATTTCTGACCGCACCAGCCTCTCCATTATCCGATTTCGATCTGATCTTGCCGGTCTTGACAGTCTTGCCGTCAATGCGATGTTCGTCCACCTGCTCGAAGTCCTCTTCGTTATGTGAAGGCTCGCTGTCCTCGCTGACAGTTGTTTCGCTACGTTCTGAGCCCTGCAGGGGGTCTTGCATGCTATCCTCAGCGCGGAAGAATACCTGTGGGATGCGCTCTCTGCCATCCTTATCTTTGATCGTGGGTAGCTCTGCTTGAATCAGACGCTCGAGGTAGGAAATAGGCTGTTGCGGGTGGACGAGCAGAGCGAGCGGCTCGATGTCCTTGCGGTCTGAGTTCGTGTCCTTGGTCGTGAGAGGGAGGATGATCTTCAACATTCGAGAGGGCGTGGTGAGAAGTTTGCCTGTGCTGCATGAGTGGTGATTATGAAGAGGCGAGCTGCAAAAGACGTACCCTTTGTCATTGCTCCAGCGCTGCGCTGTCTGGCGACAGGCGGTACATCGCTGCCTTCCCTATGCCATGGCGTGCGTATTTGTTTGCCCTTGTCCTCCTGCAGCTTCCGCGCAAAGTCATCCTTCTCTTCTTGTGTGATGTTGTGGTTCAGCTCAGAAGCCGGGCGCGCGTTCGAATCCTCGTAGCTGCCAGTGTCCTTGCTAGGTAGCTTTACGTTCATAGGGGCTGTAATCACGAAGCTTCTCCGCTGTAATGGTTGTTTCGTGCCGCCATTCTGAGAGGTCAATCTTGCTGTTATACGCGTCAGAGGTGTGTGGAGTGCGCGTGGAGCAGTCAAGGTGCGAGAGAACGCTAGAGACGATAGGCGGTGCCTCATTGCTGTTAGGGAGCAATGCGATGCCGTGAACCCGTGGGAGTCGGGTAAGACGGATCGCAGCAAGTGAATACTGAAAGACCAGGCCCCGTCAAAGCTGGCTAGCATCCAGGGGAGCTACCGCACGACAAGCAGGGTCGCGGTCACGGCTACGTCATATGTGTGGTTTGATCGACGCCACACCTGTGGCTGTACACTATCACTCGACACAACCGTCACTTTACGAGCAGTATCTAGGTGATCAAAGCCCGCGTAGTTTCAATCTCGAGCGACTGAGTAACTTCAACTCACCATTTACAAGGTTCTCCAACATGAAGCCGTAAAAACGCGAGGAAGCCTCCATTATTGCTCCGAGCGATTTTTTTCTCGTAGATCAGCACGAAGCACTACTTCATCTCGTTACAAGATGATCATAGTGCTTTAATTACAGCGTACTACAGTGCAGATAGAAGCGATGAAGCCACACATGCTCTCCATTGAATCATCGGCAATGTCGAGACCAAGGCTGACGTTCCACTACCCAGGGGAGGGTAGATGAAGGCGTTCAAAAGTTCCATAGCAAGTAGCCCGCACTCATACTCAGCCCATCACGAGAAGTCAGCACTGCAATCATCACACAAGCACCCGAAGCCTCGCCATAACATCTTGACAGCGGACCTCATATACACGGCTTGGCGGTGCACTGATTCAAAACGCTCTCCTTATTTTCCCGCCAATGGCCTGGCCCACACTCCGCCCTCGCAACAAAGTCCTCAAACCGCAGGCTTCTGCTGATCTGGGGTAGAAGGCACCGAAAGCTTTCACAGTAAGAGGGGGAGTTGGCGAGCTGGGGAAGTCTTAGCTTAATGGCGAACTCGCGATGCGTGCGACCAGACGCAGCAAGAAGCAACAATTAAAGTTAGTGACTTAGATGAATAAGGCTTGAGACGGCGAAATACCGCGATGTTGACAGTAGACTCTCTTGCTGCCGTCCGTATTGGATCAGGCCAGCCGCAGTAATGGTATAAGAAAGGGTAAAAGACAATCATAGTGCCCTTAGTAGACGATCACTCTGTCCAAATTACCTCTCCTCGAACTCAATACATGATGCATGCCCCCACCCTCCTCCTCATTGCCGCCGCATGAGTATCTCCTTACCCATTCCCTTTGCTTCTACTGGGAATACATGTTCGAGATGTGCTGCTAATGCTCGTTCGACCAGGGCACTGTGGCCGTGAAGAACTTCTATATCGAGAACATCGATAAGCTGCACTGCTCGTGGGGAAACTGCAGCAAGCAGTACGCGCGCAGGAGCTCATTCACCAGCATCAAGGCCGTAAGCGGTAAGCTCGTTGCTGGCATTAATTGGAATGAGTTAGATACAACGACGATCAAGGATAGCTGCTTGATTGACACGAAGTTTTGCGACTTGTATAAGGGTGTGACGAGTGGTAAGCCGACCAAGACGCTGTCGGGCCCGGACGGGAAGACTTGCGCTACGAGCGGGATCGAGATGAGTGGGTGTCGATGGGAGGAGCAGAGACATCGACGAGATCTTTAGCGGCAATTAAAGGCAGGTGGACATTGATTGCTGAAAAATCCGATCAAGTTTGCCGCAACACATAGAAAGGACCTGAAGATGTGCATGCGGTATACAGCCTCTGGGTAGCCAATTATGACTAAAAAGTTAGCGACCATCGATTTGAACAGAGTGAGTGCATACGTCCAACAAGCGCTGTCACGTTCTGCGACAGCTGACACGGTCGACTGCATATCAACGGAACAATCCATCATATATCAACCCTGCCCATACACCCGCAAATAAGGTGACAGATGCCACGAGGCCAACAGTTGCGAGGAGATTGCCAGAAGTCTGGGGCATATTGCTGGTGTTCTGCAAGTTGACCTGTCACGCCCACGTTGCTGTAATTCGCGTTATGCAGTCGTCTGCCTGCACAACTGTGTCTCTATGCCCTGCTCATCTGGTGGCAAGTCGTACTCATAGCACAAACTCAACTCTCACTGTCCAGTTTGAATCTGTCGCTGCGTCGAATTCTCATCATCAGAGCGCTCTCCCGCGGCACAGGTTGGGTCGCTCGCCATGCAGCCCCGACTCGTAGCTCCTGTCGTGCTCTGTTGAAGGCGAGCTCCGCTGATCAAATTTCAGCATCCGGGTTCCAAGCGACATCAGCCGTGTTTTGGCATTTTCTGTACGACAAACAGCGGCGCCTTGATGATCAGGTTGCCAGGGCGTTGCATTTTCGGACCGAAAAGGACTGACGTGCAGCATCGGTCATGCAGGTACGAAAGGATATTCGTAGCGTCCTGCGGGCACGCTGAGAACATCCTCTTTACTGTGCGTGAATCTTGTGTTACCTCGTCGCCTTACCTGACTGGTGATAATTGTTACATGCCATCATTGAGTGTTACGAAGAGTAAGGGCAATGTACGGGTCGACGTTGTGTTTACCTTGTGGCACAGCATCAAGCTATGTGGCGATCGGTGGAGACGATGCTTCCAACGACGCACCCTTCCCTTCCGCTTTTAAGGGTTGTCATTGGCGTGTGTCCGCGGACACAACGATGTGCACGTGACAACGCAAGGGGCGACAAGCAAAGGTCAGTGTGACCGCGCCGCAACGGCGTGCTGACTTCCTCTGGGAAGTCGTCCACCTTCAAGACTCACGGTATTCTCTTAGGTGTCGTGATCTGCGGTGATAACTCGCACGGATCCTTTGGGTATGTGCTGGCCCTCGTGGAGAACGCGATCTGCAGGTCGGCATGACCGGGTTGCTGGAAAGGTACAACGTGTCGCTCAACGGCTACGAGCAGCGATTTCAAACGGTCTGCATTGCCACGTAGTCGCAACTCGGTCTGAACGTTCGCTGTGCATGTGCGACCACGATGTTTGGCGACGCGCGGGGGTGGCGATGATAGGTAAGTAAGCGCTCGATCGAATTGTGGGAGGACGACAGAAAGAACAGATGAGGTGACTCGGGGAAGCTGAGCGCAATTCTTTGTTCTGGTGTACATGATTGTGCAATGGTATACCTGTCCATTGTTGAGCCATCATTGCGACCAATGTTCGTAGGATCGTCCTCGCCAGCATTCTCCAATGACGTGCAAGACTGCTGACTCGCTGCATTGGAATGCGATGCCAAAAGGACACATCGATATCGCTGATATCGTCCTTCATGCAAGGATTGCACAGGTTCAGATGAGGTGCCACTACAACGGCTACTTTACGAAGCGAGCAGCGGCCCGTTGCCTTGCCAGTTGGCAGCCGATCTGCATACGCTGTGCGATGCGAAATATACGACTTTCCCATGGTAGGCGGTAGAGGTCTGGAGACGTGCGTGAAGCCTCAGGATGTCGAAACATGAGCGTGTCGCTGATTTGGCCTGCCAACAGCGAAGTCGCAATTAGGGGTCCGGCACGGTGTCCAGATGTGGAGCAATGATTTGCTTCAGGTGTGTCCATCTCCTTTCAATAACGTAAAGCACCACCGAGCCAGACACACCACCAAGCTAGACACTTTTTCTTAGCACTGCAACTTTTCTATACAACATAGTATGTAACGTACTCTATCACCGAGCCGGTCATATCACCGAACCGGTCACTTAAAATCCCACC